ATTGGCCATGATACTATGCTCTGCAAACAAATGTAAGAGTTGCATGTCATGTTTGCCAATCAAGAATATAATACAAGTGATACAAATGTTTTTCAGCTTTTTGATTATCTAGATTTTCCTTTCCTTTCTGAACTTCCAAATGGTTTTGATCTTTTTGGCCTCTCTCTTCTACACTGGTTCCAATTTCTCTGTCAAGAAGATGAGAGGTGTGCACAGATTTTCACTATATTGTGAAGAGAAAGAAGAGAGGAAACTTATTTTATATCTGTTTCAACACTTCTTCTTTGTCCTGTTGATGTGATAATATGATTCTCTTGGAATTCAGATTGAAGGATTTAGAGGGGAAAAGTCAGGGAAGTTACCATCTGTATCATTACTTGCCTTACCAGACAGCATTTTAGCAGCTACAAAGTGAGGAAATGTTGTTGAATGGCACATTAAGGAAAATTGACTGACTAACAGATTGTGAGGGCTTGTGAAACTATTTTTAAAAAGTCTCACACCAGTGGGAAAGAATGATAGAAAAAGTTCAAGTTTTCATTTCACATGACAGATGTGGTCCCTGCCAGTCCTATCAAATTAGTTTTGGCACCACAGTCACTATCATTAATATGTGTGTGTGTGTGTGTGTGTGTGTGTGTGTGTGAATTACACACACTGTGTGTGTGTGTGTGTGTGTGTGTGTGTGTGTGAATTACACATGTACACAGTTTAGTATGTTAGTGTTTTCTTAACTCATAGTTCAACTATAAACCTCTGCAGACTATTAAATCTTAAAATACAAGAAACATTTAAAACAAAACTAAATATTTGAACTGACATTTTTGCAGTTTTCCTGAAGAATCCCAAGAAAATGATACTTTAGATAAATGAACTTGTTTGGTCAAACTATCTGTGTCTTATGGTGCCCAATTTTGGCCCTTACACTGCAACGATATTCTAGTCCTTTGTACCTGTTATGCTGTATAAGACATAAATATCACTATCAGATAAACCTTACCATCTAAATCTTGCAACATAAGACAGACACTAAAAAGACATAAAACAAAGAATCCCTTCACATTTTCTTAAATCTAAGCTTTTTATCCAAATTTCTATGTTAAACCTCAGCTAATCAACTGATGAGCCCGCTGATTGTTAACAAGAATTAGTTAGATTTTCTTAGACTAATTTTTCCCTTTGTGAATCATAATATTGAAAATAGAAATGTATTAATTGGGTACTTTTATTTTTTCAGTTATATACACTAAAATATAGGCTTAATTTTCAAAGCACTATATAGAAATTTAGCCCACATGATTTCCACTTTACAACACTGCAAAATTTTTATTTGTATTTCTAGGCCTCCCGCTGAAATGTAGAATATAAATGTATATGACATTTTTATTCAAGATTTTTTGTTGGGGGGGGAAATCTAAAAATCTTTCTTCATCTCTGTCCTAGGTATGCTAGTTCTGCTATTGACCGTCAAGGAAGCACATCCATGAGGAAGGTAAATTACTATTACAGGACATTTTAAAAAAAATAAGTGTCATTTTCATTTCTTAATATAAAAGATAGATTACATTATATTGAAGTGTCTGTCCTTGACTTTTGCCACTAGTGATAAAAAGTCTAAGAAACTCAAAGGGCTGAGGAAATAAAAATTTCCCCTTATTCCCCGCTATTGTTTATCTGCATTTCAAATAATCATGAGAGGAAGCAGCTGTAATTATGGATCAAAAGTCCCTGAACCAGAAAGCTTAAGTTAAGAGAAAAGAGAAAAGATAGATACAAGCAGACAGGGAAAAGGTGGGGAACCAGCCAATATTGGTCAACATTATAGTCAATTGCTGTCAGCAGCCCAACCACTGTCATGTGGTAAAGGACAGTGGTATGTGGTAAAGTGTATGTGATAAAGGATAGTTTTAAGATGGGATCTGAAGGAGATACCTGAATATTGTGAACTTTGGAAGGGAACTCCTGTTACATGGGAAGGGCAATATCAGCAAAAGCACAAAGGTGCCTGCAAATTTGTCAAGCGGGTATTGGAGACTCATCATAGGCTGGTCATCTCCTGCCTCTTTTCTTTCAGTACTGAATGAGCGATACTAGGTAGAGAAGGGATAGGCCATGAAGAGCCTTCCAAGTGAAGACATGTAACTTATGTTTGCTAAATCTGGCCCGCTGACTCCCCACAGGTCTAGAAATTTGCCTGCAAGGGAGTGGTGGGAATTAGCACTGCCACCACTCCCACACTGCCAAATTTCCAAACACCACATCCAGATGACATGGCCCCATGAGCTGGAGTGAGCCATGCCCAGGGCTGGTGTGCCAGGCTTAATCCAGCATGCATGGGGCTGGGGCAGTAGGCCCATTCTGCTGTACATAAGGCCTGATCTGGTACACAGGGCCAGAGCTGGGGCTGGGACAGAAGGCCTTAGACAGGACTGAGAAAGCCATGTACTAGTGGGCCGAGCTGAGCCAGGTCTGTTCAGCATGTACAGAGCCCAGGTCACACAGTGCCGCATCACTGCCAGCTGTGCCTGCAGCCGGTCCACACTAGCTGCTGCCGCTGGTGCCACAAGGTGGCGTGGGGGCCCATGTGTGGCAGTCCCTGCTTGAGCCCCTCCACAAACCCACCCACAGACCACACATCCCCCCACCACTCTCCATACCCCTGCCCACCACTCTCCATACCCCCGCCCACCACTCTCCATACCCCCTGACATCCCCCTGCCATTCCCCACACCCAACATTGCCTGCCACTCCTCCCACCCACCCACACCCATAAACCCCACCACCCTCACATCCGTAACTTACCTGTGACAGTGTCCAGGGCAGCAAGAGCACCATAGAGATGCTCTGGCCAGAAACCAATGTCTCTCTGGAGGACCAACTCTCAGGTTACCTCAGGGCATGTTTGGGAACTGCGCTCAGCCCTGCTTCCCCCCTCCCCACCCCCCATGTTTTATTTTGGTACCTGGCTTTCCAGGTATCAAACTTTGAGCCTGCACTGCAAATATGCAGCTTGGGGAACATTTTTTTGTTCCCAGAGTGCGTCTTGCAGCATCTCAAACTCCTTTGAGGCACCGCCAGAAGCATACGCAGGCTCGTCTGGACACACCCTTAAAGGTCTAAGTTAAAATGATACCCTGATTACCAATCTGTGTAACAGACAGTATGGAAATGTTATCCCCAGTGATGGAGAAAGAGGATAGTGGTGAAGGATTTAAGGAAAAAGATTAAGAGCTCAGTTTAATCATAACATGCATTATCTTACATCTGTAAACCCCCAAAAAGATAACAGAAAGGCTGAGACAGGAGACAAGGCTAGAGTATGGATGTGTCAGATCTACTGCAGGGCAGGTACTTGCACACAAGCACAGAGATGAGTATGAAGTGAGCAAAACATTTACTCTTCCTCCCAACATGCCAAGCAACAAAGCTATGTGAGAGTACTTCTTCCCAAAAGCAAGGGAAAAGATGAAGTGACGACCCTTCAGTCTGTTCTAGGTTACTGTAACTATTTACTTCCCCATGTAACTTTTGGTAAGTACAAAATCAAGTGTTACATTGTTTGCATTTTTAATTATTTGAACTAAATGGATATGATTGGATCTTAAAGTTAAATCTATGTATATTTTAAAAATACTTTAAATTTTCATCTAGCTAAATATATACCTGTAGAAGTTATATCTGCAGAAGAGAAATTGTGTCCCATTTTCATCTCTGATCTTTAATTTTCTAAATTAATATTTGTCCTATGTTTTTTGGGGGCTGATGCAACCTTCAGTTGCACAAGCAAAAAAATTGTTTCAGGCTGCATCCACATTTCTAAGGGCAGAATATGGTCCTCTGCTAAACTGCTGAGAAATTTAGATTTCTTCTCGGTTGAGTTCAGAACAATGAATACATTTAACTTACTTTTTGTATCAAGTAGGAATGAGACGTTGACTCCTAAACAAAGATATTAAGACCTACATTATAACGAGTATTTAAAAAATTGCATAGGGCCTGAAGCTCCTGTGTGTTCTCAAACTTGTATGCACTGAAGGAGGAACTGCGAGAGGAATCCTGTCATTCCTGTTAGCCATAAATTAAGTTACTCCAAGAAGTGTTTAGTAGCATGGAGGATGTGTACAATATTCAGATAATCTGGGAATTCATTCAGGTTTGTTCTCCTGGCAGTGAAACTTACCCAGAGCTGGGTGTACACATATTCAAATGCTGAGTCTCTGAAGAGTGGGGAGCTTGCAGTGCTAACACTGTGCAAGCATGGAGGCAGGGGCACAAATCTCACATGCTCTGCAGGCTCCCTTAATCTACCTGATGACAGATGGAAGCAGTGTATAAATAGGCTGACCATAAGGAAATCTGGGACATCCAGAACAGTGCTGCTGCAGGCAGAGGTGTGGTGTGGTGTGGTGTGGTGTGGTGCCTGCCCGCCCACCTGCCTGGCATGCCATGCCACTCTACTGGCCTCCAAAATCAGGGACTGTCCTGGCTAAACCAGGATGTATGGTCACCCTTTGCATAAGACAATCCTGATTGGCTGCCCCAGGCTGCCCATGGTCAGCCTCTGGTTTCAGTGCATCATAATGTGGGGATTGTGAAGGGGGAATTTGCCGCTCCCTGCAGAAGAGTCAAGGTCATAACACACTGTCTCCCTGGGATGGGCTGGAAGAGGAGAGAGGAATGTGAAAATTTATGTTCTCTTCTGATAGAAGCCACCCCATGTACAGACATTGGCTCTCTCAGGAGAAACTCCTGGGAGTTATTTAGCTCTGGTTGTTCCCAGGTTATTTTTCTTCTTGAGTGGTCATTTTTACTTTGGGAGAAAAATCATGAACTCCTGTACACTTGTAGTTTCTCAGAGGAGAGGAGGAACTCTCTCAGGAGAAACCAAATGTCTGTACAAGGCCAGATGAGAGTGTCTCTTGGTTTGAAGCACTTCCACATGTTTCAAAACCTTTACCTGAACTGGCTTTTACTGTTATTGATTAAATGCTTACCTAATGTTGGGCAGAATCATATCAGTTTCTTCATAGGTAAAGTTGTCCAGTGAGTTTTGCTTTCCACTTAGAGGTGAAATGCTCTTCTGCTGACATAAGGAAAGATTAAAACATCAAATACTAACAAAGTAATTCTGAGCGAGCAGGAATCTGGGGAAAAAATATACTAATAAAACAAATGGAGGAAGAGGGATTTGGAAGACAATTTGTTATGAGTTTACTTGATACGTGTTTAATTTTTTTGCTTCTAGTTATGTTATAGTCGGCATCAAGACCGATCTCCATATTTGGGGTCAAAAAGGAATTTTATCCCATGGTCAGATTTGCATGGACTATGCGGGGTTTTGCCGCCTTCTTTAGTTGTTGGGGAGGGGGGAAGAGGGGCAGAAAGCATGGCCCTCTACCTGGGATCTCTTAAGTATATACTGACAACACTTCATAGAAGGAGGACATGGCTGCCATGGTTCCTCTACTTTACCTTTGGCAGATTAGTGTGTTAGGTCTGTGTTGTGTCAGGGCTGATGGTAGTTTTATGTGGCATTTAGATTATGGATTGTATAGGATGATTTGAATAGGGATGGTCCTGCTACAGGCAGGGGACTGGACTAGATGACTTTTGGAGGTCCCTTATAGCCCTACTTTTCTATGATTCTTAGTTCTATTATTTTAATTAGTTTTTATTAATAAGAAGGAATCCAAAGTGGCAGGCTTTGAAAATTTATTCTAATTACATTAATGACATGTTAGACAAGAAAATCCATATCTTATCTGATACAGTGCATCAGATTTTGGACAGCATACTCATGACTAAAGAGAGGAAATACCGCAACAATATTCACAGTTAAATTAGAAGCTTACTGTTACTCCTTTGGTTCCAGCTATGTCATAGTGTCCTACAATTCAAACACTTCACATTTTTTTCCAGTTCCATGATCTGACTTTCAAGTTACTCTTTATGCTTTAGTGACAAATGCTGTGGGTCTTGAGAATAGGGAGACTTTTCTTCAGAAATGTATATCTCTAATGAACAGCTGATGGTATCACTGGTGTAAAAATTCCTTAGAAATGACTTCATAATTATCATCAACATAAGATTCTTCTATTAAATGCAAGTACAATACATGACATACTGTTTAAGAAATTCCATCAGGAAGTCCATGCATTTATAAAAGAATTACATAATTTATTAATGATAGATTATTTCAAGTTATGCTACATTTAGCCGGACAATTATATTTCATAAAAACTTTTTTTTAACAGTATCATGGCCTGATAAGACCTTTTCATTTATTTTTTCTAGAATATATGTAAAAATATTCTGAAAAAAATGAAATACTTATTATACCTGGCGGCATAGGAAATATTGCAAAATATAAAGTAATGGAAGAACTTGTAGAAATTACTTTGTTTTGCTGAGCATTCAAGATCACTACACAGAAAATAACTTACCATCTGAAAGACAAGTGAGCATCCCAAATAAATTATATCATGAGAAAAATATTACTGTCATTTCCAAACCGATCTACTCTGTTTACCCAACTAATTGGACTTTTGGATCTCTTTCTGTATTTCATTTCATACAAATACCCGCAAAAGCTTTATGAAAATAGATGAATATGAGTTAATTTTTAGTTGCTCAGTTTTGTTTCCCTCAATACAAATATCAAGCCCATAGCCCTAGCCACTATATCTGTCCCTGATCTTATACCAACACCAATACTGCAAATTTTCTTTCCCCTGTTAACTCTCTCTCTCTCATATAATTGCCTGTCCTGGCACAACCCTATTTCTCTTCTTTTTTCCTGATATCTAAAGTTACCCTCACATTTTCTTATTCTTCTCACCCAGCACCTTCAGCCTATTTGCATCCAACCCATCCCCCCACCAACTAGTTTCTCCCTAAGCTTTCCTTGATAATTAATATCTTAAAATATTTATATCTACTTTCTTGTGGTTAGAACTGTGAAATTGCATAGGTAGATATCTTAAAAGATTATTGGCTAATATCTGAAATATCTGGATACTGTCATATTTTTTCAGCGACACCATTTGGCACAATTGTATCCAAAGAACAGAGAACAAATATCTTCAGATATAGACTTGAGATTGGATCAAGAGGATGCAAAATAGATTACTTTCATTGTTCAAAATGGTTCCTGCTCTAGCAGAAATTAATATGTGGTTTTACAGTTTCTTCCCTCTTGCATTTCCTCTAAGAAATTTGAAAATCAATTAAACAGCATTCTAATCAATATATATACTACTTTTAGTAATCCTAAAGATACCAGAGCTCTTTCAGTTTAATTGTAGAGTAGAAACCTTGTCTTTAATTGGTCAGACCCATAGAAACACTCTTCTTCTCCATTCTCTTTACCCCACCTTGCTTTGACAGTGGTTATGCCAATGCTTTTGTTACTCTTTATGAAACACCTATTCAAGTGACTGAGAAAGGAGATACAGATAGGAAGACAAGATATATTTGTGATTTCTTGCTCTCCCTTTGAAGCATGTTTTCTTGGGAGAAAACCTGATCCTAGGGTGAGTATTCTAGTGTATGGACATTATTGTTTACCCCTTATATTTTCGTTTTCTTTCTTTCTGTCCCAGAAGCCTGTTCCTAGTGCCATTAATTGTAGGCAAGGAATTCAGACCACTGCTAACTTAAGTCATGAACCTGTACTACTGACTGTCAGTTTCCAAATGTCACTTCATCCTGTCTCCTATCCAGCAGTCAGGCTAAGGAAGGAAGAAAATGCAGGAAGGAGCTACCCACATGGCTTATCACAGTCTATAAAGAACTGATGCTCCGTCTGTCACTGCAGTTCTACCTCCTTTCCCCATGTTCTCCAGCTTAATTATTCCAGTGCTGACAAACAGTTGATTTCTGCTGTTACTTACAGCAATGTGGCATCATAAATAATAAATAGTAGTAGTATGATAAACATACTGTAAGGAAATTATCATCTCATGGTTTAGAATTTGCATATTTTGCATTTCAAGTAATAACTACTGATGTGCTTGCAACATTTTAATTCTTCTCATTACTGGATTAAGGTAAAAACCTAATATAGCATAAATATATGTAACCAAATTTTCTTCAGTATATTTATCTCCTTAAACTTGAACACTTATTAAAAATCACAAATCTCTGTAGAAGTAACATAGATACAATTTCTCAGCTTAGTGATACTATGGCAGCTACACAACTCAGTTTTAGCCTCTTACTCTTTGTGGTTATATTGAGGTCTCATTGGTTCAGCTTCACAAATGTAGAATATTTTGTCTGCTCTGTTTTTTACTGCTCTTTCAACATCATACTTTGTGCTGTGGTTTTGAAATGAGGATATAAATGCTGACAGCCACTATACATTCTTGTATCTCTCCCTGTTTCCTGTAGCCACTCTATGAATAATTTTGAATTCACAAGTTTTGAATATTTGATTAAACTGTATAAAACAAAGTAGATTGGTTCCACTACATTTTAAAACCTGATATGAGAATTCTACAAGTTAACAAGGCTAAATTAGGCCTTTCTTTTTCAGTGGACTAACTCTTGTTCTTGTACTTTTTCATCTTGTCTTTCTTTCTTTGAATTAACTCTATATGTTATTCCTTCACATATCAGATGGAAAACATGACTGATTTTTGTATTTTTTTTAATTTATAATCCATTTTGTTTTCTCTGATATGTTACACTGAATCAGTCTAGTGATTTTTTTATGGATTTCTACTGGATAACTTAATGAAGATATTTTTCAGTTGATTCCGAGGAAATATTATCCTACTTCCATATCTTATGTTTGCATATAGTTCTTTAAAAATTCAATAAAGCTGGTTTTTTAAATATTACTGAAAACACTGTTTATTATTTCAGATGCCAAGCCTCATTGGTGTAAATTTCAGGCCAAACTGTGAAAGCTTTTGTGATCTACCTTTGGTTACAGGGCTTATGAACTGTTCCATGCCACTACATCTCCATGCAGACGTATTTTAGAGATTGTGCCCAGTGATCTAAGTTGCCACAGTGCTTCCTCTGAAGTGGTATGGCTACACACCATCTCTGACTCTCTGCTGTGGTTTGAAATAAATGGGTAAAAGCCATGGCCTTATTCTTTATATTTACTTTTCTACTGCTTTTTCCCATTCATCATACATTTTCTGACCTTGTTTCCAGTATTTCTCCTACAGTACTGTAGTATACATGCCCACTCTTTCTGCCTGTGGCCTCCAAATGCTTGAGATGTAGTTGCCCCATCCAACAGAGGTGGAAAATTATTAGTCTTCTGCCGACATCACACCAGTTACATTTACAGGGCTTACCACCTCTCCAAATCAAATGTTTCCTTCTTTAGCTTGTGGAGGAGTATCCATGCTGCTTTGAGAAAATGAAGAATGAAGTAGGCTCAGAAAGATCAGATAATAAATCAGAGATTAGAAACTTCTCTAATCATACATTACAGTGCCACTTACGAGACCAGAAGTTTAGGCAATGCAGGTACTCAATCCTGTGTACAGTAAGCTAGGTCTTGCACGTGGACAGCAGGGCTGATTCCTGCAAGAGATCTAGAACCAGGAAGGCCCCATGCTGCCAAATACTGCAAGTTGGCTGAATTGCCAGAAGACATCAGGAAAGGCTGCAGTACTGCTAAAACTGGTCGGGTGGGTGGAAAATTGGCTTACATGGTCCAGTTGGTGGCAAATTACATGGTCAGGTGAGTGACAAATTGGCTTAGGGGTCGCACCCAGAGAGAGGTGGTGCTGTTCAGTGCCTTCATCAGTGACTTGAACGAGGGTGTGGAGAGCACCCTGTCCAAGTTTGCAGATGATACCAAATTATGGGGCAAAGTTAACACACTAGAGGGTAGGGAACAGATCCAAAAGGATCTGGACAGGTTGGAAAAATGGGCAAAACAAAATACGATGCAGGTCAAAGACAAGTGCAAAGTGCTGCACCTGGGCAAAAAGAACCACCAACACACTTACAGGCTGGGGGATGACCTTCTCAGCAGCACAGCAGTGGAAAGGGATCTTGGAGTCATAGTTGATTCCAAGATGAACATGAGTCGTCAATGTGACGAAGTGATCAACG